ACCTTGTCTTCCACAACTGGACTGCAGTGGATCCTTCCATACCATATCCCCCTCTCTCGGACTTTCAGGTCTATTCACCCCCTCACCCATGAGCATGCTGAACCAGAGCTGGTCTGGTTTGAATAAGGAGGTCCAGGGTTGGCCCGGAGAGGGCGGGTGGGTTTGGAATAGGAGGGTTTAGGGTTTAGGGTTCAGGGTTTTGCGCCAGTAGCATTCACAGCTGCACACATGGTACGAGGATTGCCACTATAGATCTGGCGCCCAGCAACAGGGGGAAGAGGTACCTGGGCCATCCCCAAACTCTCTCGATTCTCTTGTGGTTCTTTTTGTACTTCCAAGCCGATGCCGGGTAGAGGCCCCGGTAGGCAGAGCCGGTCCACAGCAATGTTCAAAAGGGACGCGGGACCCACTTTCCAGCAGGTGAAGCTGCCCACCAATAGATGGAATGGTCGGCAGCAGACTTACTAGGAGGTCGAGGAGGAGGACAAGGAGGAGGAGGAGGAGGAGGAGGAGAAAGAGGAGGAGGAGAAAGAGGACTATAGTAATAATAATAATTATAATAATGACAATAATAATAATAATAATAATAATAATAATAATAATAATAATAATAATAATAAGAAGAAGAAGAAGAAGAATTGTGAATGTAGGTGGGGCCATCCCTGTATTCTGATGCAATAGTCGACCTCTCCTTCCAGCTTTTCTCGACTGAGTCTCCTGTGGTTTTATTCACACAATATGCATTGTGATTGCACCTTGGCTGTTTTGCACAGGTGACCAGGATGCCCTATGGTGCCTATGTGGAGAGGAACATCCTTATTCCAGCGGGGCTGACATTTACACGGTACGATCCTTCTGGGGGTGTTGGTGCTGTTTTCCGCAATTCGGTCGAGGGACCTGGGTACTATGTCACTGTACGTGATGGCGCTGAGGATCAGTTTCTGAGGGGTGGGGAAATGCACGTTGGACGCTATCCGGTGTTTGAACCGTACGACTTTGGTCTTGCCGCAGCATCGGGGGCTATCTACACCCGCCCGACAGGTATCATCAAGTTAATTACGACCCTCCTCCAGAACCCCTCCAAATTGAAATTGACCCAGGAAACAGTACAAGCCATGCTAACCCCTCCGGAGGGCATCTTCATTGACAACGAGTACACCAACGCAACAGAGGAGGACCGGCTACGATATGCTCAGGGAATCGCTGTGTTTCACAGTAGTGCCCCCCCCTCAGGTGTCATCCGACTATTTGCCCCCGGCGACATGCAAGGCTTCACAACCATGGTCCATGCCACTGTAAATGTGACCGATGGGTATGCCAATATCGGGACCCTTGTCTATTCCAGAAATGTCAAATTTGTGCACCCTACTCTGGATGCAGACACGTGCACACTTTTTCGCGATGACCACAGCCCAAACATCACCCAGCCTGAGCTCCTCACCATTCCACCCGATCTGTGCGACATGTTCAAGCTAAACCCGAATGGGTTCGACTACGTCGCACGTGGGCTGTCGAGAATATGGCCACAGCTTGCCCTGGGTTCATAGGAAGTCGACAGCTCGGCAAGGGACTCAGGACTTCGGCGATCCACTGTCCAATGAACACATTCGCCTTTCAAACAATTTTAATGAGGTTGGGAATTTGAAGGACTTGAAACTACCCCCTTGGGAGAACATTTGTTTATAGTTAGATTAGGGTTGATGAAAATATATGCCCACAGCTTGCTATGGGGATTCATAAGAAGTCGACACTTCGGCAATGGACTTGGTCTGACAGTTCGGCAATGGACTTGGTCTGACTTCGGCGATCCACTGTCCCATGATGCATTTGCAACGGAGGCAATTTTAACGAGGAGGTAATGGATCTCAATCGAGCTCTTCTCATAAGTCAAAGCTGGGTAATGACCCCGGTGTTTTTATCTGAGTTTGTACGCAAGGGACGCTGGACCCGGTTTCCAGCAGACCCGGTTTCCAGCAGGTGTTGCTCCTCACCAATAGATGCAGGCCCCTATAGGGAGGCTACTGTTGGGGGATGCTCGTATGACCCAAAAACAGTACTTCCCGCTGGGGTTTTCAGAAGAAGAAAAAAAAAAAAAAGATTTGAAGAACTGGACACCTTCCTCTGGCCCACTTCCCCCCGGGAGAACATATGGGCATAGGTAGATCAGGTCTGTCAAAAATATGGCCACACTTTGCCATGGGTTCATAAGAAGTCGACACTTCGGCGACTGACTCGGGACTTCAGAGACGGACTCGGGAGTTCGATAATGGCCTCGGGACTTCAGCAATCGACTTGGGACTTTGGCAATCGACTAGGGACTTCAGCGATGGACTGTCCATTGCATCCGGCACTCGAAACAAATTTTAACAAGGTGAATGTGAAGCGCTGAACTCTTCGTTCTGCGAGAACATAAGGGTTATATTATGTACTTTAGGGTTGTCGAAGATATGGCCGCAAGAAGTCAACAGTTTGGCTGTTTTAACTCGGGACTTCGGGGTCGGACTTGGGACGCTGGACTGTAGAATGCATTTGCAAGCTCAAATAATCTGAACGAGGAGGATGTGAACGGCTGGACAGACGCTTCCTCCTGCCAGAATATATATGGGTATAATGGATATATGTAGGTTAGGAATGTTGAAAGTACAGCCAGAGATCTCTGTGGGTTCCTAGGGAGTTGACACTTGGGCCATGGGCTGTGTGATGCATTTGCCACTCAAGCAATATTAAGGAGGAGCATGTGAAGGCCTTGACAATTGCCTCTGCGAAAATAAATCCATATTTATTATATATATAATATATATTTATAATATTAGATATGTACATATATATATATATATCGTCACAAACAGAACTGCCCGATAAACTGTAGGCAGAGAGAGAGAAGAGGACAACAAACGAGGGGCTGTGACAAACTGTTTCGTCGGAGTTTCACCGACTCATCAGGAGGCTGAACCCTATATATATATATATACGATATATATATAGGATGGCTATATCCAGCACCCAGTCACACATTGATGAAGGCAGGTGACAGGTTGCACCACTGGCCAGCGAAATGTCGGTGAGGCCGGGGGAAAAGGACAAAAGCAGGGGAGTTGTGACATACAACATACAACATACTGATCTGTTGGCCTCTCGTGGAGACATCAGTGGCAAGGTCCCACCAGTACCCCACTGAGCTATTGATGTCGAGCGTAAATTTGCCCTGCACGCCAAAAAAGAAAAACAAAGCGACGTGGGCCTGCTTCTGGCTGGCGCCGCCAGCCATCTCGGTCTGGAAAACGACCGCCCCAAAAATGTGGCTGTTAACGAGCCGTGATGTTGTTTTTCAAGTGGGGAAAGGTACTTGTGGCTTAAGAGACATCGACTGACGATCAGCGGTATCTACGCCCAGTATCTGCTAATCTGTGCACATGAGACCTAGCCACCAGAAGGCTGTCATTCTAAGGGGTGCTGGTGAACCCTTGGTGAACCCTTGATCGTTTCTTCTTCTTCTTCTTCTTCTTCTTCTTCTTCTTCTTCTTCTTTTCTTCTTCTTCTTCTTCTTCTTCTTCTTCTTCTTCTTCTTCTTCTTCTTCTTCTTTTCATTGAACTGTGTATTTTGTTTGCAGCCTGATTCCTAAGGGGCAGCCCCGAGATGAACGAGAAAAGGAAGGGAGCACCAATGGGCCTAGACCAGTTGCTAGACCCATGAACTGTTGAAATACAGACCTGAGTTCGATCCCGATGGAAATAGATGAGAAGCGGAAGCCCCCCGGTATCAGGTCTGCACATATGAATGAGAGGCTCAGATCTACTAACTGGGAGCAACATTTGGCAATTATGCTGGAAACCGGGCACAGTGTCTCTGTCTCATACAAAGTTATGAACAGAACATGGTATACATATTTGGAAAAAAAAAAGGGGGCAAGTACCTTGCTATCACTTTTTTGAATGCACAAAAGAAACACTCGCCCGGCCAGGAAAGCCCCCGAGGCAATAGAACACATTTTCCCGCTGTGCCCAGGGGCTATATGGCTAAGGCGGTGGTGGGCGCCTCAGGCCCCTGGCCATGGTCCTGGAAAGCCCTGGTGTGAGAAACATGGCACCCAGACCAGGCCACCGAGTTAACACTCAACTTGTTCTGGACAGGACACCGGGCAGTCCTCTGGGCCATATGGTGGAGACATTCCACCTGTGAAATGGAAGGGGGTCCCCTTGGGGGGAAGGGACAAAGTCGATGACCATGAAGCAAAAGAGTAGGGTTCTCCAGTCTCTTTTTTTTTTTTTTTTTTGAATTTGATAAACAGGTCCCTCCAATGCTAGCGATGCTGATAAGAGCAGACACCGCTAGCAGTCTCAGGATCCTGCGGGAAAGCATGGGCTCAAACGGGTGAAACCAGGATCAAGGGTTGAAGAGCAAGACCTGAGATAATTTTTGGCTCCCTATACCACCAGTACTTGGCCCATACATCGGCCGGGGGCGTTTCCCGTTAACATGCCGCGACTGATGGGCTTCGGCCTACCGGACCGCAATGGCTGGAGGCGCCAACCAAAAGAAAGTCGAAACGGCGCGGCGGCGGCTCAGCAAAACTTGGCGCGCAGGGCATATTCAAGCTCGGGCTCAATTAGATCGAGTCTATGGGCCTCACTGTACTACGCACCAAATGGTTAAACTTGAGAATCTCTTTTCCTCTACATGGCTTGATACACCACGGTGACGATAGTTTTTTGTCTTTTCCACATTTGGTCAGTGGGATGGCAGGGCCCTATGGCTACTGGGCCGCCGTTGGAGACCACAGCCAGGGTGAGATCTATGGAACCTTTGACTCCCTCTTCCCCATTCTCACCCCCCTTCGTCTCCTCCTCATCTCACCTGCCAGTGGGCACCCTGTTGCAACACAGGGTTTAACACTCGGCAGAGTTTGTTCACAGCCTGTAGGGGATGCATTATACACCCCTTGCACGGTGTGCAGGCTTTTTCATCCTTAGGTTTAGCGGTCCTCCGAAGGGTGTGCATTTCCAGGGAGGCGTTTGAAAGGGGTCACAAAGTGGTTGCTCTTCAGAGGACTGGTAGAAGCGGATCATGGGATTTTTGGTGACCAGTCCCCTTAGAAAAACTAAATGGTGCAAGGGTTGAGGCCTGGTGTCCGAGTGAACATCCTTGGAAGGGTATTTGCTCGTGTTTATGCAGGTAACACGAGGTGCATCTGCAGTGCTAGGCTGGGTAGTGCCACGCCCTACTCGCGCGACCCGCGCCTGAGCCACTGTGGTTGGGGTGGCAAGGATGCATAGAGTTGGACAAGAGAGTGTGTGCGGGCGTGCAACGCATGATAGTTGACCATATTATTGTCGGCCATGTGCGTTGGCAGAGTGATCGACAGTTTCGCGTAGTGACGCAGTCAAAGGACAAGTTTGCTTGATTAGGATTGCCTTGCGCGTGGCGTGCGAGTGTGCTAGAGTGGGTACAAGCCCTTGCTATGACAACTGGCCTGGCATGACCTCGACCATCGGGCCAAGGGCATTCACTGCTGTCCGCTGCTCTGCTCATCCTATCGATGGATCTCTCTCTCTCTCTCTCTCTCTCTCTCTCTCTCTCTCTCTCTCTCTCTCTCTCTCTCTCTCTCTCTCTCTCTCCGGCTTCAGTGCCACTGGCGTGCCTTACCAACTGAGCTAGGCCGCTGGATAGTTATACTGTGAGGATATTCTCTTTTTTTTTTCTTTTTTTTTTTCTGTTGGAAAACACACTCTGCCCGTTTCCCGACTGTGAGAGAGTGTGTCGGAGTTTCACAAGCTCATAAGCTCATATATATATATATATATATCGTCACAAATAGAACTGCCCGGTAAACCGTAGGCAGAGAGAGAGAAGAGGACAACAAACGAGGGGCTGTGATATATATATATATATATATCGTCACAAACAGAACTGCCCGGTAAACCGTAGGCAGAGAGAGAGAAGAGGACAACAAACTAGGGGCTGTGACAAACTGTTTCGTCAGAGTTTCACCGACTCATCA